TATTGATTGGCCTTTTTTTTCCTCTTCCTCCAATTCAGCGAGAGGAAACAAGAACCAGCATTTCATTAAAAGGAGACTTTGTCCAGTGTTTCATATTTCATGAATACTTGTGAGTGAACACATCCCATAAAATAACCAATTAATTCAGCCATGCTAAGACTCAGACTGAAAACAACACCAAAACATTAACAGAAGCCTGGGGAGACACAAGGTTTAACATTTCCTCCTGTATGAAAAGTTCCCAAACACTGTTTTCATCCACATCCCTTGATTCACTTCACTTTCTTGCTCTTGGCTCTCCTGACAGCTTCTGCTGTGTTTGTTGTTCTGGGTGAGTGTTGTACCCAGCTCAGGGTGTTCCACACACAGCCCCCGCCTTGCTGCCACTGCTTTTTGTCATTGTTGCCTTTGACAACATCACAGATTCCAGTTAAAAGTGACCAGAAGAGCAGGGGAAGGAGTAACCTGCAATAATGATTTGCAAATTGTGTTAATTTCATAGTGGGATTCTGCTTTTTGATAGGATTTAATGCGTAATGAGCTCCTGAGACGTTATTTTTGCTTCAAAGCTTTGCTGAGTACTAGATCCTATTAAATTCTTGCAGTGAACACACCAAAAAAATACTTTGAGCTAATTTTAATAATTTTTAATTGAAGGAATATTTTTATTCCAATTTGAATATTCAAGCTGTTCAAAAGTTAACACATTCTCAAAGTATTCATCAGTCTTTTCTTTCCATAAAACCTTTTTTTAGGAAGCCTGTGGCTTCTGGGGAGGGGGACAGGTTTTTTTTTTGTCTCAGATTTGTTTTTCAGACCCAGTTGAAACAAATTTAGGCATATTTTTCTATTTATTTCTTTTTAAGTGCCTGCATGCTGCAGTCTAATCTCCATTCTTTTTATTGCTGTTTTATAGTCTACCATTATTGTTTGTTTCCTTTGCATTTTCCTAAAAGCAGAAACAAAATACAAATTTCCCTGCTAGTCCTTTTTTTGTGTGGTAGCAGGAGCTGGATTTGTGCTCGTGTGTCACGCTCAGTAACATATGTATTTTGTTGTTAGCAGCGTTGTTATTTTACATTAAATCTCAGGGATTCCAACAGAGCCTGGCATCCCAGGCTGCAAAACAACTCGCAGGAGCCCAAACAGCTTCAAAAGCTGCACACAGGAGCAAGGAATGTGTGAGTGCCCTGTTCAGGAGATGCAGAGGAGCTCAGTGCCTGGTCAGGAGATGCAGAGGAGCTCAGTGCCCTGGTCAGGAGATGCAGAGGAGCTCAGTGCCTGATCAGGAGATGCAGGAGATGCAGAGGAGCTCAGTGCCCTGGTCAGGAGGAGCAGGAGATGCAGAGGAGCTCAGTGCCCTGGTCAGAAGGAGCAGGAGATGCAGAGGAGCTCAGTGCCCTGGTCAGGAGATGCAGAGGAGCTCAGTGCCCTGGTCAGGAGATGCAGAGGAGCTCAGTGCCCTGGTCAGGAGATGCAGAGGAGCTCAGTGCCTGGTCAGGAGATGCAGAGGAGCTCAGTGCCCTGGTCAGGAGGAGCAGGAGATGCAGAGGAGCTCAGTGCCTGATCAGGAGATGCAGAGGAGCTCAGTGCCCTGGTCAGGAGGAGCAGGAGATGCAGAGGAGCTCAGTGCCTGGTCAGGAGATGCAGAGGAGCTCAGTGCCTGGTCAGAAGGAGCAGAAGATGCAGAGGAGCTCAGTGCCCTCCTTCAGGCCTTCCCAAGCACCTGGAGCTGGCTCCTGTAGCCTGTTGGATCCATGCTCTGGCCTTCACGCTCCCCAAACTCCCAGGTGTGGCAGGTGGAGCAGAGCCCTGCAGTTTCCCCTCCAGGCTCTGCTGGCTCTGGCTGTGCAGAGGGGCTGCAGGGAGCCCCCAGCCCAGCCCCTGACCCACTGGCCACTCCTGTGCTGAGCCCTCACTGCCTGCAGGCCCTTGGGGCTAGCGGGGGGAGCTGGGGCTCCCAGCCTGTCCTCACTGCCAGGTGAGTGCAGCCAGGCACACGGGGACACAGGTGAGGGGTGGCCTTAGCTGAGGGGACCGAGGGGCCCTGCTCTGCTGCCCGGGGCTCTGCTCAGCCAGAGGATCCTTATCCGTGCTCAATGAGTGACCCTAACGAGCCCCTCAGTCCTTCCATCTCCATTTCTAGGAATCAGAGACAGAGGGTTAAGAGCCCTGAGATGTTTGGGGTGACCTTGGGGAGGCTCTAACTACAATGCAAAGTTGCAAATGGTGAATGCAGTAAGCAGATTAGGAGTCTGGCGCTCTGGCAAATCTCAAGACCTAGTCTTATGTTGCTATTTTTCCCCTATGGCAAACTTACAGATTTCACAATGACTTTGCTGTAGCAGTGACTTGAAAATGATAGTGAGTGAGTGTTCCCTTTTAAATAATGGATTATGAGGCAAAGATTAATTTTTGCTCAATTTTCACACTAATTCAGTGCCTTGCTGCCAGCAGAAGCACAAAGAAGGACATGAATTCACAGTGGCTTTCCTTCTCAAAGCCGTCACACGCTTTTATTGGACGGGACCGTTTGCAGTGGGGTCCCATCACTCCCATCTGGTGCCCACTGAACCGTGGGCTTTGACATCTCCTGGAACATCCTTTGGTTCTTGTCAGCAGCGAGGAGCTCAGCCCCTTCCAGCCTGCTCAGTGCTGGGCTGGAGGAAAGCAGGAGGTCACAAAACAACAACCCAGCCACAGCCACCACTCTGCAGCTGCCAGGTGCCTCTGGATTTTCAGGCCAGCTGGAAAAGCAGGGGAGAAGGAAAGAGAAGGAAACAGAGAAAGACAGACAGCTGAGAAGAGGTGAAACCAGAAATGCTATGTCCCAGAGGCATTTATCAGCCCAAATGAAATGGAAACAGCAAAAGGGAAACACTGCTTTGCTTTTCTCAAAATTGTATTTCCAGTTGAATGAGTTGAAAAGAAAATATCCTTTCCTTTCCCTGCGATTTTGAGAGATCTGTTTGCTAAGTCTGCAGGCTTAGTGGGAGAGACAAGGAGTATTTATTTTCTGTATACGTTGGTAATTTATGAGGTTGCTATAAATGCAGAGTTTATGGAAGTAAAATCAGGCCATGAAATAAAAAAGATTTTATTCAAATATCCCAGCTTATTAATTCTTTCTAATTCTTCACAGAGGAGGAGATGAGTGAGGATGCACACACAGTTTACTGAATATTAAGAGGGAGAAGATCCAGTAAAAGTAGCAAATGCAGGTATAATTTAAAAATAGAAAAAGATGAAAGATAAGTGAATTTTATTAAGGACTGAAATATAATTGAATTTTCCTTTTCCTATTTTGCCATCAAAGATGGCAGAAAGAAGTTTCCCACTGTGGGAAAGGGTCTTGCATCGCTAACAAAGCTGTGCAAAGTGACTTTACCTTCCTGTGCAGCGGGGTGTGACCAAAGGGATGTAAATGCAGCTCTTATCTGTGCCACATGAAGGGGTGGAGAGGAGATTTAGAGCCTTGAGCAAGAAATAAGATGGCACAATAACTTTCACTGGGATTTAGTGCTCCACCAAGAGCAGAAATGGGGCAAACACGTCCTTGTGTATGAGAAGCATTAACTGTCTGTTCCACAGGGTGTCCATCAGTGTTCCTGGCTGTGTGATGGGTTACTGGCCTGCCTTCAACTCCAGAAATGCCCAGGAGGATGAGGGGATGGGGAAAGATCTGGAGACAGAGGTGCTGGGGTGTCCCAGAGCCCCAGGTGAAGGTGCTGCACCTGGGAGCTCCCAAAGCTCTCAGAAATCTCTTCTTTCCAATGCTTTCTGGAGCCCCCAAAGCTCTCAGAAATGTCTAAAATGCTTTCTGGAGCCCCCAAAGCTCTCAGAAATGTCTCCAATGCTTTCTGGAGCCCCTAAAGCTCTCAGAAATGTCTCCAATGCTTTCTGGAGCCCCCAAAGCTCTCAGAAATGTCTCCAATGCTTTCTGGAGCCCCCAAAGCTCTCAGAAATGTCTCCAATGCTTTCTGGCAGAGAAGAGTCAGCAAAGCATGAATCTGCAGCGTGTGCTCTCCCTGGACACTCCACACTTCCCAGGGGCTGCTTTCCCCTGATGTTTGGACCTGGAAAGGGAGAGCACATCAGGTGTGTTGGATGTGAAGATGTTTTGAATGCTGGAACAGTGTGAGGTGACACTGATCTCACAGAGCAATCATCTGCAGGCCTTCACCAAAGCAAGTCCTTGCTATCAGCTGACTTTGGAAACATGCAAGTGTCCCAAGAAACAGCTGCTGTCCTGGCAGACCAGGGGCCCTGCACTGCCTTTTCCCACACTTCACCCTCCAGGTTTGTATTCTGTATCTGGCAGCTGTCTCCAGGGTCTGCCTCCCCCTCAACTGGCTCTCCATACGTGGGGAGCAGTGTGCAAACAGAGCCCACATCCCTCAGGGACTCCTTTCCTGCCTCAGTGGAGCTGCTGGAACAGCACTCACCGCCCAGCACTCACCACCCAGCTCCCTGGACTAAGTCAGGTGGGAGGACAGAAGCAAAGAGCTGTTTCCTCCAATTAAACTGGGGAAGAAATTAAACTGGGGGGGCTCTGTAGTTGAGGCAAATGGCACAAAATGAGGAAAAGGTCACTGTGGTGGCCCTGAGTGAAGGCATCAGCCTCCTTTGCATCTCAGCATCTCCCGACCTTGCCCAGCTGAGCCCCTCCTCTCTGGGGCTGAGCTGTGATCACCTGCCCTGCAGCTCTGGAGGACTCAGGCTGGAGCTGCAGGGATGGCAGAGGAGCAGCTCTGGGGCAGGAGGGGCTGGAGGTGTGTGCTGAACCCGTGGGGCAGAGGGTTTGAAGAGCCACTGCAGTTCCTAGTCCAGTGGCACTCCTCGGGGGGCTGCGATGGCGAGATGAGACGAGCTGCACTTCACACAGGGCAGGAGTGCAGGAGCAGTGCCGCACTTAGAGGAACTTTGGTGTCTTTTTTTGGAACGCTTTTGATAGTTGAGGTGGCATCTGACCTTCTGCATTTGAGATCTGCTGGCTCAGGGATCTCCAGCTATAATATTGGCCATCAGTCCCTACTCTCATATACAGAACCAGAAGCAGGCTCAGAAGCCTCAGAGAAAGCTGGCTGCTCTGAGAAGCAATTCCCATTGTTGCATTCGCTAAAACTTCTGGGCCCCTGAGGTATACAAGGGAGTGTCTGAGTTGTAAGTATCAAAAGAAATTAATTATTCCATATTATAATTAAGTCTTTTTTAATTAGCTGAATAATTGGAATTTCTCTTGCGTTACAATGCAGGTTTTCACGTAGCCAGATAACCTGAAACTTTACAGGGGTTTACCTGAGAAATTTCTTGCATCCACAATTGTCTTTTTGTAATATAAAGCAGTAAATATGGGTTCTAAGGTGGCTGCAAGAAAGGCAGTTCTCTTTAAAAGAAGTCTGTCAAGCCAAACTTGTCCCTCAAAATGTATGTTTTGTAAAAGCCTTCAGAAAATGTTGGGTCGAACTGTTTTAGTGTTATTGTGAGGAAATCAATATTTCCCTGCAGCCTTTGCAGCCCCCAAATTGTAGCATGTTGTTTGTGCAGAAGAAGCTGAAAGTGAAACTGCCTAAAAATGAGAGTGAAGTAAACTGACTTGTTTCTATAATTTGCCCTAAAAGTCCCCGAGGTAAACAAAACAACACACTTGAGCAGTCAAAACTGCAATATTCTCCTAATGCAAACAGCTGAATTGGAGGGTGCTGCTGCCATTCTGGGAGGGGTTTTTGCTTTTCTTTCAGCCTCTGTCCTTCCTCCCCTTTTCCCATCTCCTCCTGTGCTCCCCCACGGCAGATCTGCGGGCTTTGTCCTCCAGCAGCAGCACCAAGGAAGTCGTGCAAGATCCCCCTGTGCTTGAGTGCTGAGATCAGGGAACTGCCTGCCAGTCCCACCCCTCTGGAGAGGAGAGAGCCTTCTCCCAGCGCTCTGGCACAGCAGCAGCTCCGTGTGATGGAGCCCTGAGCTGGCAGAGGTGCAAGCAGCACTCCAGGTGCTCCTGAGCCCTGCTGTGACCTCCCTCATGTGACAATGTGACATGGGCTCCAGGGCTCTGGAGGGTTGGGATCTGGCCAGGTGATGCAGGTGGAGCAGAGTTCACTGTCCTGGGCACTGTGGCTGTAGCTGGGTGTTCTCTGAAAGGAACCACGTTGATCTGGTGAGTTTGGCTGAGACAAAATTAAGAGGGAAAGTGTGGGAGACACATAGCTTGCTCACAGACACACCAGGGTGGGTGCAGCAGCTTTACAATCTCATGTGTTCACCTGCCTCAGACAGAAAAAATGAAGCCAGTTTGTTTCTGAGAGCAGGAGGAGATCAGGAGAGCGAAGGACCAGAGGAAAGCAAATGCTGTGCTGACTGGCAAAGAGACTGCTCTCTTTGTGTTTTTTGTGCTTGACTGAAGCATCTTCACAGGATTTTTTCCCCTCTAATCTGGAAATAATTCTGATTTATTTTAAGCCTTCTATTAAGACGAGTCACGCAGCAGCGGCTGGCTGGCGGCGGCGTGCGCGCGGACGCCTGAGTGTGCTTCCAAGGGGCTGCCGCCTTCTTCAGTTGACACTGCAGTCAATTATTGTGTTTTCAATTATATATAAAAGGCAATGATGGAGGTTTTCAGCTTTTATAGCACCACAAATCACAGAGTCCTTCGCTGTGCACGCGGCATCGCTGCCACAGCACAGCAAGGGGGATCACGGCCTCCCCGGGCGGGTTCATGGAGGGAGCAGTGCCATCAGGGACCCCAAACTGCACAAGGGACACCAGGAGAGGGCAAACCCTCATGGGCAGCAGCTCCTCTGCACCATCCTTCAGGCAGCAGCCCCTGGCTGGCAGACAGGGCTGGGCAGAGTGATCCTGGAAGGGCAGGAAGATCTGTTCTCCATGTGCTCCGCAGGGTCAGCAGCGGGGCTGTGAAGGAGCTTGTGTGGGCAAGGAAGGGTTAAGGTGAGGACATCGTCCTGAGAAGGGTCATGGCACAGGGGGTGACCCTGCAGCTCTTTGTGAGTGTTCAGTCACACAGCCCCCTGCCAGCTCGGTTACTGGGTAGATCTGGAGTGAGCAGGCTGGGGAGATGTTGGGATCTGTTTCACAGAATGATCATTTCACTGGACATTTGTACACTGTGACATCATTGTATTGCAAAGGTAGCCCTGGAAAAAAAGGGCTTGGACTGGCAGGTCAGGAGTGCTTGCCTTTGAGACCAGGCAATATAAGGAGAAACCCAATAGAGTGTGAACAATCCTCCTCAGCAGCCAGAAGATGCCACCTACCATCCAGGGATCTGAAAAGGACTCAGCACAGGCAGGCTTGGTTTTGATTTTGTCATTTGGGTGTCTTTATGCACATTTAAATGCCCCAAAATGGTCTGGCGAAGGGGCAGCACTAGCACTTATCAGCTCCTTGTTTTCTTTAGGAGAAGAGATATTAGCCAAGGCATTTTTATTCTGCTCTGCTGGCAGGGAAGGGGGTGTCTGAAAGCATCACAGGCGGTGTTTCACCTGTGGCAGATTGGTGGTAACCCAGCAGTCAGGTCCAGGAGAGCGAGGCTGTGAGAGGCTGAGCGGGCAGGAGCAGAAATCAAATCATTGCCACATAGAGTGAGCAAGAACACTTGAATTCTGAGACTCCAGTGAGGAGGCAAGTGAGAAAAATAAACAGAAGCTGCCAGCTGAACTGGATATATTGACTGCAGTAAAAACTGGAGGAGGAGAAGTGACCCTGGTGACTGGGATGGAGATGTTTGGGATGGTCCAGAACACATCCTGGAGCCCTGTGCTCCTCTGCATGGTGAGGACACAGGCAAGGAGGATCCCCCCTGGTAAAGAAAGCTGTTAGTTCAGGGAGACAGGGGCCAGTGGGACAGAGAGACCACTGAGAGACTCAGTTAACTGAACTGGTTACCAGTGAAGGCTGGTTTTGAGCCTAAACTGAAAAAAGAAAAATGAAAAAAAACACTAAGATTGCTAGAAAATGGCTCCTGGTGGTTATAACAGTGCAGCAGATATGCTGCACTGTTGCTGTGGGATAATGACCTGGGATTCAGAATTTGCTGGATGTTAGGCATGACTGTGGGACCTGGGAATGCTGCTAACATAAACTGGGGCAGGGATGTGCCAGGAGGACTGGGAGGATTCTCTGGAGAGAAAAGGAACTTAGAGGTTCTTAGGCAAAGCAATTGGTACCAGCAATAATTGCTTTCATGGATGAGGCTCCAGAGGACAAACCAAAACCTGTGCAGGAGGAGAGGGCCCTTGACTGTCCTGCAGTTTGTGGCTCTCTGCCCAGAGCAAGGCAGAGGGTATCCTGTCTGGACTGGATAAATCTTGGAAATGGCATTTGAAGTAGACATGAAATAGGGTTTGGAGGGAACTAGAGCCTGGGAGAAGATCTGGCTAGATGGAATATAAAATCCATTAGTGTCTTAATGCATAAATTGGCAGAACTGTACAACAGCAATGAAAAAACAAGCTACTGGGAGCCCAAACTTTTATTAGATTCTGGTGCCTCAGTGATGACTGAAATCAGTATTCTGCAGGAGTGAGGGTGCCCAGGAGGTGCCCCAACAGGCACAAGAGTACAGGGGTCTCCTCTGGTGCAGGAGGGTCTCAGCTTTGCCCCCACACCCACAATTCAAAATGCTTACTGGAGAGTGTGCCTCAGGCTTTTTGTATTCAGCATTATGTTCAGGATAAAAAATGGGCTTTTCAACAGCCTGTTTCTTAAACAAAATAGGTGAGTTTAGATCTGACTAACTGTGCAAGGATAATACAGAAATAGAAAGACTCATAATTACCTTACCTAGAAAATGATGTTTTCCTGTAAAGGCTCCTGAAATAGTGAGAAGAGCTCGGGATGAGGGTCAGTTACCTTTCTGCAAGTATAAGCTTGAGATAAGTTGGAGTATGGGAAGATTAATGCCTTTGCTTTAATAGCAGGGCTTGATCCAAGACTGCAGAAACGCTGTAAGTAGCCAAGCGAGCCCAGAAAGCCTGGTGGATCAAGGAGTGCCAGTGCAATGACCCAGTGTGTGTAATTCCCCTGTGGGGCTGGCATTAAAGGGAAATAGAAAGATGCATCTGACTGCGGATTTTAGAGCATTAAATGCTGTAACTCTGCAAACATCACCTCTTCTTGTTAAAGTGCCAGAAATTACGGCTGCAGTAGTACAAGGAGCTAAGTGGGTTTTGGCCATAGATCTAGCAAATACAATTTTCTTTATCTCTTTAGTAGAAAAATGTTGCTAAAAGTTTGGGGTTTACAGTTCAGGAGGGGAAAAAAAATATTATTTCACTTGATTTCCTCAAGGATTTCACGAGCTCCTGTGATCTGTCACATACACATCACCCAAATGTGGGAGAAATTAGCCTGCAGGTCCAGGAAGTGTGTGACATCAGATGTGGCTCACACCTGAACTGGGTAGATTCTGGAGAGCAGGAGTGTCAGCAGAGCAGAAGATCTGGCTGTCATCCAGGAGGAAGGATTGAAAGTCAACAGACAAAAGGTTCAATTAGTGCAACAAGAGGTAAAATATTTAGGAGCAATACGAGGTACGGAAGGCCAGGCTCCTGATAAACAGAGTGTGGAATTAATTCCAAAGCTGCCCAGCCCCACTGCTCTGCCTAGCTAAGAGCACTGTACGGCACATTTAATTGTATGCAGGATTTTATTCTGATGTTCACTGGAGTGAGTCATCCTCCAGCTAAGCTTTTAGAGCAAACCAGGCAATGGGAGCAGGGTGCAGAAAAGCAGGCATCTCAGGAAAGCTGGAGGAGCCCAGCCCGAGCTGCAGTGCTGGGCTGTCTGGACCCTCCCCATGCATGGTTTGCCTCTGTCAGCCAGGGAAAAAAGTGCCAGTTTGGCACAAAAAAAAAGATACCGTGTTCCAGGCTATTGTCTGTGCATCTCAAATCTTATTGACACCACAACTCCTTGTCAAAAAGAATGAGTATATTTAGTCTGGAAATCAGAAAAATTGGATTATCTTGTTGGAGGGAGGCCAACGGCACAACACCCCAGTCATGCTTCCTTGAAATACAATGTGTTCAATACAGCACAGGATGGTGCCTATCGAGCTGTGGGCTGGCAGCACAGCCCCTGATGTGGGTGGCTGTGAGAGTGAGAGCTGGAACAGGACACGAGGCTCCAGCAGCTCCGCGCTCCAGTGGTGCAGGGTGCTGAACACGAGTCAGATATTGCAGCCTCCTGATGTGCACTGGCCTGTGCAGCTTTAATTGCCTCTGTCAGAATGCATCCACATAAAGCAGAAATGTGCTTTACAGGTGGCTGGGGCTGGTGCAGAGCGAGGCTGGCACAAGATGTGCTCCAGTGCGTGCAGAGAGGAGCGGGAGGCAGTGGGGCAGGGCTCACCTCGCTCGCTCCACGTGGCACCAATCCCACAGGCATTGTCAGGTGTGCATCCCCACCGGCTGAGCAAACGAGCAGGAAGGATTTCATTTTGCTGAACAAGTTTTTTGCCCATCTAGTTGCAAAGCAGCAAGTGCACAGAGCAGAATGCCCACAAACCTCAGGATGTGAAGAATTTAGCTTCTAAAGGAAGCTTTAAGGAAATTAGCACAGGTGAATGGCAAAAAGTAGGATGTGGTGTTCCCATCTAAATGACTCCACAAACAGCCATGATTCTATTCCTATTGAGACCTTGACATGAAGCAAGATGTGACTCTGAAAGAGCTGGTGGTTAAAAACTTCCTTATCAGATGAATAGCAACTGAAGGGTCTCACAGATTAATGAATGAAAGGATCTGACAAATGACTGCAGGATAATCAACAAATAGCTGAGCAATTAGGGCAAAATGTTCATAGAATAGATAAAAGGCAGAAAATGGTAAATAATCAACATGAAGAATGGTGAGAAGGGGTTCAGGTAGTATATCACAGGCTCCCAGCAAAGAGCACACCTGGGGCTGTGAGTGGGATGGATCTGGCACCAGCACAAATAAAGGCATTTCCATTGTTCATTAGTTCAAGTAAGTTCTGACAATGTCAGGCAGCTTCATCAGTCACAGCCAAAGCTTTGGAAAGGAGAAAAACACTGAGCCATAAGAAAAGTTGTCTTTACTTTCCAGGTGACAGAAAGGCGTGGGTGTTAACCATCACCAGAGCTGGATCAGCACAGAAACATGGATGTGCTGTGGTGGGTAAGAGCAGCTCTTCCAGCTGTATTGTACATGAATTTTCCTGAAGCTGGGCACATGAGTGAGTGGTGTTGGGGTCTTTTTGTTGTGCCTGCTGTGTCAGTCTGCATGCAGGGTGCTGTGGGCTGTGTTTCATTCACACTGGAGCTGCCAGGATGCTCCCTGAGACACCCAGGGCCTGGGTACCGTCTGTCAGAGCCCAGCCCCAGCTGGGCAGGGAGGGTGGGCAGGGGATTTCAGCAGTTTTTCGGTGCTGGGCAGCAGCGTGGGCTGGGCTGGAGCTCTCTCCTCTCCAAAGTGTCCAAGCTCCCCGGTCACCCACAGCTGGACATGTGCAGGGATGGCTTAAATCTTCATCAGCCCCACTTTCCCAGAGCCAGTCGTGCTTTGCTGTGGCTGGAAGAAAAACACCAGCTCACCCAACAGTTTGAAAGCCCTTATGTTTTATTTCCTTTTCTCTTCCCTCCATTTCGCAGTCCCATCCACTTTAATTTTAAAGTATTGTGTTGCCCCTTTCCTGAGAGGCCAGCGTGTTCTAACAAGCGGTGCAGACACAGCCATGCACTATTGTTCCTGTCACCTCTAATCACACAGCCATCACCATCACGCTAAATCCCTTCCTCTGCATTGCTCTGGATCACACCACATCCTCCCTCACCCTTCCTTTGTCTCTCCATCCTCTGCCCTCCCCAGCCGGGGCTGCAATCCCGCAGCTGAAGAGGGAAAGCTGCCTTGTGATGGTGGAGGGGCTTTTTCCTGTCAGAGGAACTCGTTTCTTGTGCCGTGAGCGAGGATCTCCGCAGAGAAAGCAAGCTGAAAACGTCTTTGAGCAGCCTCTTCTGTTCTGCCCTCCTGGTGCCGCTTGAAAATGAGAAGAAAAGGGTGTGGGGGGGTGGACGATTAAAAAAAATAATAAAGAAAAGAGAAATAACTTTAAAAAGGAAGACTCTTCCAGAGCCCAAACAATCAGCGGGACAATAGGAGAATAGGGACAATGAGGATTGCAGCTCTGCTCCCGGCGGACGGGAAGCCCTCGGCGCTGGGCTCTGGGCTGGCCTGGGTGATGAGCTGAAAAGCTCCCTGCCCACGCTGCACACAAAGCCTGGCCACAGGGCAGAGGTGAAAGCAGCTGGGAGCCGGGTTTGGAATGTGTTCCACGCCGGGATCGTGTGGCACTGCCGAGCACGGGTGACACCGGGGCAGCAGGCCGGCCTGACCCCGGGCCCGGCCCTCGCGGCCTGTGCTGAGCCTCACTTCAACAAACCCCGCCGGAAAAACCCCTCACACCTGGCAGTGTCATCTGTCACCTCCTTCTGTCTGCTACCAAAACACTGCGTGGGACAGTCAAGGGTCGTTAGCTGCCGAGGCAAATCTGGCCCTTCCCTTGCTCTTTTATTTCTATTTCTATTTCTCCCGTGAGTATCCCCTGCTTGGGAGGCGGCGGCTGCTCGTAATCCTTCCTGTGGCCAGGACAGGCTTCTGTGAGAGCTTGGGAACAAATGATAACAGAATTCCCTGCAGACTCCTCATGCCAGAACTCCTTCCCTGCCCAGAGGGCCCCACAGAACCTCTGGAGTCTGGTTAATGCTGTCAGCCCATCTCTTCCCACATTTTTGGCGAGGAGGAAGGATTTGCAGGCACCAGGATGCAGGAGAATTCCATCAGCAGCCCTCAGTGAAGCTCCTGAGGGTCCCCAGCTGTGCTGCACGGGCCAGGGGCCTTTGGCTTCTGGAAAAGGGCATCTTCCTCACAGGGAAGAAAAAAGATGGATCTGCACCTCTCTATTTTTTTTTCTAGGCAAGCTAAAGAAAAGTTGAGAGAAAAAATGTATGCTTAAAACCTAAAGAGTCAAGGGTCAATTTGGTAGATTTTCTTTTGAGTTTTGAGCTTTCTGGGGCTTTTATTTATCATTATTTTATTTGGTGGTTGGATTTATTTTTCTTTTTTTTTTTTCTTTTTTTTATTCTTTTGCATTAGAAATAGTGTCAGTTGTCAAACAAGACTCCAGATTGATTTGGTTTTTTTTATGTCTAGCTTTCAACATCCTCAAAGGCATCTAATTGTTCAGGACATACTGAGTATCTGCACTTACAGAAATCAAGCCTTGAGTGGAAGTCCCCTGAAAGCCAGGCACCGGGAAGCCAAGATTAGTTTTCAGAAAGTAAGTGCTTTTCATTTTTCGGTTTCTCAAGGACTCTTTCAAGGGCCAAGCAGATGGCTGGGAGATCTACAGAATGGAAACCTGCAGCTCTAACGGGGAGACAGAAGTGTGTGTGGAGGGGGTTGTTTGTTTGGGGTTTCTTTTAGCTAAATTGCCTTTTTGCTTGACAGCAATTTACACTATTTATGCAGCTGGAATGCCAGTGCATTTTTTTGTGTGGACTCTCCCTTTTCAACAAAGGACTGAGAAAATTGCCACACTAATTCTAGGAGCTTCCCAGCAGCTCTGAGCCATAACCAGAAGAGCAATTTCCAACTTAAAAATACAAAGGCAAACAAGAGAAGAAAAGCAGAGTTCAGTTCGGAAGGCGGCTCTGGCGCCGTTCTCAGGGAGTTTTCATGGAGATGTGGGTACGTGTGAGGAGCAGGCTGGCCTCAGCTGGTTTTTCAGGAGCACTGGGGGCCGTGATGGCCTTTTGGCAGTGGTGACCTGCCTGGAAGAGCCTCCTTGTCCCCAAGGGCTGTGGCAGAGGGAGGCAATGGCAGCACAGGTGTCCCCCAGGGTCTGGCAGACCTTCCATGTGTTTGTACCTTGATAAATTTAGGTTAATATCTTGTTTTTCTGGCCTCTCCACATCACTCCCAGGATAATTCACTGGAGCCTGCCTGGACATGTTTCTGGGTGAGGAAGCTGCTGAGGAACCCGCTCACATGAGGTGCCCAGGATTCCCCAAAGGAGGCTCAGGAATCCCTGCAAAGAGCCCCTGTACCCTGCTGTGGGCACACAAAACCCAGAGCTGGAGAATTAACTCCTCTCTCACCATCTGGGCTCACCAAACTGCCTCTGGCACAAAGAAATAGTGCACGGGTTCCACTGGAACAGTGCACAGACACCCCCTCATGTTTGCATGTATTTGCTGTATGGCTGTCCCACACATTTTCCTTGCTAGCCTGTCATAACCATTACTAAAATACGCTTATCTCATATATGCAAATAGCAGGATATTTTTAAGATTCTTTGAAATTTCCATAATTGTGCTGTAAAAAAAAATCTCTTTGCTTATCTCACAAAGTGTTGTAACCACAGCGTTACTTTTATTGAAATCTAAAAATCACTCAGCAAAATAAGAATAGTTAGAAAACTGTCAGGTTTTTATATTTTTGAAATAGAAGGGAAAGAAAGTGAGCAAACCAGGCTTTATTATTTTAAATTAGAAACTTTAATGCTCACCAAAAAGGATATAAACTGTAAATGTATTTTAGCAGTTCCTAGAGAAAAAGAGAGAGGTTTTAATAATAACACTGTGTGCTCCTATATCATTTTCATTAGAAAAATCTTGGAGCACTTTCAGCTTATTAAAGAGTGGAATGCCTCAGAAGGCTCTCGGGAGGTACTATAGGAAAGTAAAGTAACAAATATAAATCCACATTATTCTCCATCCTGTGATTACCTGGGATTTGACCATCTTTGGGATGCTCCCTGGCACACCTGGCAGAGACAGAGCTGTGGCCCCACGGCTCCAAGATGCTCATTTTGTGTGGGACTGAGCCAACACTTGGGAGGATTTTCCCACATCTTGTGGGGACACACCAGGAGCTCTGCAGGGATTCCTGAGCCTCCTTTGGGGAATCTTGGGTACCTCACATGAGCAGGTTCCTCACCCAGGAACGTGTCCACGCAGGCTCCAGTGAATCACCCTGGGAATGATGTGGAGAGGTCAGAAAAACAAAATATTAGCCTAAAATTAGCAAGAGTCATAAAATGTTCACTGGAACAACAAAAACAGGAAGAGAACTGTAAAGGTAGGGGGTATTCCCTGGTCTGATGAAGAAAATAATATTAAAAACTCCCTGGTGTTTAATTTCAGGAAATACAATAGACCGAGCGAGTGCCCAGAAGAGGAACAGCATGTTAACATATCTTAGATAAACAGGAGCCAAGTTGTTACCCTGACAGAAAAATGAGAGCCCATCAATGCAATGGGGGAGAGTAATAAATTAAAAACCAGATGGTTCGAAGATGTGATTGCGTCTTCAGCTTCAGCAGGAAGAAAGAAGGGGAATACATATGTATTGCAGGCAGGCCAGGAACACAAAAGCTTGGAAAAAATACAAGAACAGGAGAGCCAGGCTCATCAGAATGAAATTAATTAAAAGAGCAGGACCTCAAGTTATTTTAGGTCCCAGTGGTAGAAACACCAGAATTCCAAGCTCCATTCTTCATTTATACATAAAGTTTCCTGTTTCATCCATGCTCAAAAAAGGACCTCTTCCTTTCTGAGCTAGATAGTGAGTCAAGGCAGATGGGAATTATTCTGAGCTTGGAGAAAACAAAGAAGCACAAATTAATGGCTTACTGGCAGAAAGGCAGTTTGAAGCACTTTGCCAAAGCACATTTTATTCCTACCCTTATCCTACATAGATATTTTTTCCTTTAATTCTGTTCAGCACAGAAATGCATGACTAAGCAGAGATACATATCTGTGTTGTGCATAGGCTGGAGGGGGCATTAAAACAAGCAAAAAACAGACAAAAGGATGGGGGGGAAAGTCTGTAATGGCTGGTGCAGTGACTTTACGAACTTGCTGCATGTCATTCAGCACACAGAAAATAGAACAACCCCATCTTGCCAGCTTGAACTCTCATCCCATCGTTGCTGTGTGGGTTTATATGCATCTGCCTGCATTCTGTCACACTTATATGGACATATGTACATGCACAGCCATCTCTGAGTGCTCCACCTGCAGAAGCACTGGTTGGGTGTGGAGGAGTCCTCGTGGCCACAGGGACCTTGGCCAGAATCCCATATCCAAAATCCACTTCTGCCATAGTGGGATGTTATGACTTGGGCTTCAGAAGTGGCAGGTTTTACTCCAGCTTCCTTTGCAGCAGTAAAACCTTAAATCTGCAGCAAGGCTCTCCCTGCCCAGGATTATATTCAACCATTAATGTGAGAGGTCTGGAAATTGTTTAACTGTGCACATTTATCATGCATAAACAATTTAAGTTCTGATACCGATAATATTTCCATCTTAATATGGCAGAATGATGGAGGCAGAAACTCAGACTGCACTTGTGTTTGAATAGTGTTGATTCTTTCATAACTATTAACTTTCAAGACCTCAATTTGATATCCCTTGGGAACAGATTCCCTCTGTGCCTAGGGTGTTGGAAACAGGAGATCAGGAGGTGGAGGTTCAGTTCTTGTCAGGAGATTTTCAGCTGCTTTCTCAACTTCCTGTCAGTTCTCTTCCCCTTGTGTAAAATTAGGATAATGACATTTCTTCATATGACAGTAGCTTAAAGCGTTCATGTCTAAAATGCTCAGGTGGAGGGTGTTATACACTTCAGAGATTATTGTTTATTACCACGATTGCTGTTACTGATATTTCTGAGAGTTTCACTCTCACGTACATAATCAGGGCAAAATGTTATGAACATTTTGCCTGATTTTGAACTTAAAACCAATTTTGCTCTGAATTAATTCCTTTGAATAGAATTATTCCTGAACTACATCATCTGGGGACCAGCTGCTGACCCCAAGTGTTTAAGAACTACAGATAATCACTGATGAAAAGAGACAAAAATACATTTTATCTAAGAAGTATCTAATGTTGTGATAGAAACTGAAATTAAAGTATAATCCAGAGAGAGAGAGAGAGAGAGGGAGAGAGAGTATTCTTTAATTAAAATCAGCTACCTCAAAAGATGGATTTTCTCAGGAGTGAAATTTGCACTGTGCTGAAGGCTTTCCACTTAAATCCTTGATGATGCAAGGAAAAAGAATTCTCAGGGAGTAATATTGGCATTAGCAGATAGCCACATGCCACTGCACAATAAGGAAAAAAATCTGCAGAGAAAAAGATATATGGCCAATAGAAAGGAAAGATGCACAAAACAGGAAACTCCCTGAAACACAAACACATGATTATTCAGCAGCAAATGAATAGTTTGGCAGAGAAAGGGACACGAGATAGAGAAAGAAAAATAAACGCAGAAGCAGCAGAGATCAATGGAAACAATGGGCACTTTCTGCCAGGAGATTCGTTAAAAAGACTGAAAACAGGGCTTTAGATAAGGTGTGCAGAACCATCCATCGGCCCCAGCAGCCCCGAGTTCCTGCTCCAGGCAAGGGACACAGCCCAAGGCACGGAGATTGTGGAGCCACAGTGGGAGCAGCAGGAGAGAGCCCAGAGCCTCTTTGGGGCTGGGCAGGCAGTGCCCTCCCCACCTTCAGAGCTGCTGCTGCTGCTGCTGCTGCTCATGATGATGATGATGATGTTGATGTTGATGATGTTGATGATGATGATGCTGATGATGCTGATGATGCTGATGATGGCAGCTGTGCTGGAGGGGAGCCCTTCCCAAGGCTCCTCATTGGGAATCCTGCTCCCTTCCCAGGTTAGTTGCCATCCCAGATGGCTTCCTGCAGCTCCAGGCAAGGCAGGGTGCTGGAGAGCCCTGGAAGTGGCCCTGTGGAAGCACCACCTTGCAGAAACACCCTTTCACCAGCACTTCTGTCATTGTGTGCAGCAGGGGAGATGTGAGCAGCTCCTTCACGCTGCTTTCCTCGCACGTGCAGACCTCTCTTGCAGGAATCTTGTCGAGCAGCCAGGTGGGCTCTGTGAGAAGTGGTTCTGCTGCAGTGAGGAAAATGTATCGTTTTTTTTTTAATTTTTTTTTTTCCTTCCTTTTCCAACAAAAAAGTATTTTGGGCCTGAAGTGGAGGGGCTGCTGCAGTGGTGTCACATCTCTGGGGAAATGGGCAGGGTGTGCAGAGCAGCAGAGCTCCCTCCCTGTGCTCAGGGAGAGGCTACAGAGCTCCAGTGACTACAAATACCTCACAGCTTTGCTCTGTGTGATGCAAATGTTTTTGTGGAAAGAGCCTAAACCCAAATTGTTGGTCTAATATTGGCCACGATATTGCAGCCAGGCAGGATGGGGTATGTAGCAGGGGATGTTTTAATGTGTCAGGTTAAAAAACCTGTGCAAATCTTGGCTGAGCTCAGGTTCCCAAAGAGCTGATGTGGATCCAGGACAAATTTCAGTTCAAGCAGAAGGGTTGGCTAATCATTAAAATACATCACACAGGTAATCTGGCTCACAGTCACAGACCTTTACAGGTATTGTAATACCCACAGGACTCCAAGTGCTAAAACAGCTCGACCAAATTTGGCATTCAGCATCTCCTGAAAGCAAAATAGAACTCACAGCAGCAGAAGAGCGAGGCCTTCTCAGTGATGTGACTTCCATGGGAGAGGAGAGGAGAGGAGAGGAGAGGAGAGGAGAGTCAGGCCGTGGTGGGGCGTGCTGGCGAGCAGTGTTCACATATTAACAGATTTCCACTCAAACTGGCAAATAGGGATGTCTATGTTAGAAATGCTGTGTGAAAGCCAAGGCAACAAAAGTCAAAATGTGCATACGAGAATATGTGGCACACACAGTATATGTCACAATGTTTACCATCACTTCAAAACATGCACCCGCCCACAGTTCTTCACTAGCAGCATCCTGGAACTTCTCCAATTGGGATTTGCTATATGAAGCAAAAGTCAATTAAAATCAGCCATTATTGTACAGATCATGAGATCCATAGTACGAGATCCCATGCTCATCCCAGATGCTCATTAATAGCAGTGTGTTGTAAACAAGTCCAGGACAATTGCTTGGGGTTTGTATACTTTTCCAATGGCTGTGTTTGCTCAGTTAACATATAACATTTTTTAATGGGTTGGATTAAAATTTTTAGCAAATATCAAATTCCCCAGAAACACAGTTCTGTTGCATTCTGGAACTGTTTCAAATGTAGGTCAGAGGCAGTAAGTATGCTTAGCTAACAAAAACAGGCGGGGGGAGAAAGGTTTGGGGAAAGGGAAGTTCTGTCTGCCCAGCTGGCTAGAGGAGCACCAGCTCGCCCACCTGCTCTGAGCAGAGCCTGCTGCTGGCTGAGGTGTGGTGACTCATTCTGCATCACTCAAATCCCACAGTTCTAGCTTGGACAGTCACCACCTGCTCCAGGCCTGGTGTGCTTCGCTGGGTTCCCTCAGTGGCTCGCAGAGCTCTTCCATCCAGTTAAGGAAATGTGATTTTCCAGGGAGGTAAACTGGGCAGCCCCCTGTTCAGGAGCTCATGTGGATGTACAAAGCCAAAAACATGATTATTTGTGAAGATTTACTGGCCTGATTTGGTGAAATCCAAGAACAGCCTTGAGCTGAGATAATTTTTGGGGGTAGGTGGAGGCTTCCAGTCCTTCAGATAGAGCCAAACACCAAGATCCACCTTCCAGCTCCCAGCAAAGGCCCACCCAGAATTACAGGTGACCCTGAGCCTTCAGTCCTGCTCAGAAACAAAACACTGGCAGGGCTTGTTTAGTCAAAGAAAACATCAGCTCACTATGAAACAAACATCTTTGTTTTGGACAAAGATTGCCCCAGCCCTAGACACATACACAAATGCACACACTAATTTTTAGGGCTGATTTCTAAACAAAAAATCCGTAATTAGCACAATTTTGTTTGTAATTACCAGGGATAAGTTGTTTGCTTCAGTGCCAATATCAGTAGCAATGGAAGTTCACTTTCTCTTTTGTTTTCAACTCTTTCACCTCTTTATGTTTAGTTTCAAGGTGAGATCAGTATCTGGAAACATGATGTAATTTATGCTGTTATCATTTTATGAACTTCAGCAAATCTACTCCTGATAATGTATTATAATTATACTGGTAATCAGAACTGGATTTGAAAATGTAGGAGGCCTGGTGCCAACTGCCACAGTGTGTCTGACCAGATCAGAAAATGAAAACAACAGTTACTGGCATTTATTGTCAGGGGAACTTCAACTCAGATTTGCAGGCAGATATGGACTGCCAAAATTAAATGGCTGTTCATTTCATATGTATACCTAATTTCTGTGGATTTTGAGAGTGGCATCCTAATCTCTGTCATGCTCGTTCCCATTTCCTTCTCAATTTTCCTTTAAGAGGAGCTTCCCTACTCTGAACAAATGCAATG